TTAGGAAGAGTGACCTTGCATACAATTAGACCTATCGGGTCATACATTTTTTCCAAGCTGTGTCTAAAGCAGGGTGTTTCTATAAAAATCTAAGGACTTTTTCAAACAAGAAAAAACAAAAAGGCACACTGCATACCATTTTCATAAGAGCAATGTTGATCTATCTTCAGAGAATCTGCCAAAATGGAGTCTTAAAAATGGAAAAAGGTGTATTGGGCTTCCAGAGTTAAGTAATCCAAAATCCAAAACATTAACTGTATGGTGGCTTTCACTGGTTAATGAGATCATTACACGGCTGATGTTCAAAACAGCCAGGTTTTTCTAAACATGCCATACCAATATGTTTTTCTACTGTAACTTCCAAATACCTTTGTATTTCCGTAAACTTCTATAACGAAGGACTCATTTTATGGTTAGAAGGATATTTAAGTACTAGTGATTCATCGTAGGATTTTTCTTTTCAAAGCAAACACATGCTGAAGGTCTGAACCGGCCTAGAGAAGCACGCTCTTTAGAGTAGCCGTCGAGAACCCGTGGTCGGCGGACCACTGGAGGTCAGTGAGGTCCGAAAGGTTGGCGACCTGCTTTAGAGGGCTAGCCGTGCCAGGTGTGAGGCCCTGGGTACACTCCGAGAATACCAGCAACTACTCCAGAACTTGGAAGCCATCCAATTACAGCTCAGAATTGCATCTCCTCACCGTCTCACCAGACCACCATTCCTGGACACCCGTCACTACAATGAATTAGAAAACCTCCGATTTCCCTCCACAGTACAAGCCAGATAGCTATAACCTAACATCTACAAGCTACTCAACAGGGTGACTGGGCATTTGCTTTTTTTGTTATTTTCTCCACTCCAAAGAAGAAGCTATGATCTGTAATCAGCAGCTTGCTTCCACTCCCGATTTACTAGGGGAAATGGGAGAATCGCTCACGTTCCACTCCACCTCCAATTCCCAGCTAAAACACTAGGGGCAAGCTCTAACTCCCAGAGGCCCTTTTAGACATGGATGAAGGGCCTCATCCATCTGACCCTTCCCCACAGATGATGTTTACCTCTAAATGCTGAGAGCACATGCCCATGAAATCAGTCCTTTACTAAATAGGAAGATGGATCAGAATAAGTGCTAACATACAAAAGAGACAGAAATGACCATTCGTTACAAGCTTCTATTGGCCTTTGAGCTTAAAAAAAAAAAAAAAAAAAATGAGGCCGAAACTGGTTTGTCTCAATGGATAGAGCGTCAGCCTGCGGACTGAAAGGTCCCAAGTTCGATTCCGGTCAAGGGTACGTATCTTGGTTGCGGGCACATCCCCAATAGTGGGTGTGCAAGAGGCAGCTGATCGATGATTCTCTCTCATCGATGTTTCTAACTCTCTATCCCTATCTCTTCTTCTCTGTGAAAAATCAATAAAATATATTTTTAAAAACAAATGAGGACACAACAACGAGATGCCACTACACACCTATTACAATATTCAAAATGCACCAACACAGACAATTTCAAATGCTGTCAAGGATGTGGAGCAACAGGAACTCTTTCGTTGCTGGTGGGAATGCGAAAACAGGACAGCCACGGCTTGGCACTTCCATCACAAAATTAAAAGTACGCTTACGTACAATCCGGTCACTGTGCTCCTTGCTCTTTACCCAAGTGAGCTGAAATTCCTGTCCACAAAAACCAAATACACTGGTGTTTATCGCAGCTTTATTCATCACTGCCAGGATCTGAAAGCAGCAAAGTCCTTCAGCAGGTAAAGGGGTAAATAAACTGTAGCACATTGAGATAATGGAATATTATTCTGTGCAAAAAAGAAATGAGCCATCAAGCCATAAAAAGTCATGAAGGAAACCTAAATGCCTATTACGAGGTGAAAGAAGCCGTTCTGAAGAGGCTGCAATACTGTACGATTCTAACCCTGTGACATTCTGGAAAGGACAAAACTAGGGAGACAGTGCAAAGAGCAGCAGTTGCCAGGGATCAGGGAAGGGTGGAAGGGCAGGGCGTGGAGGATTTTCAGGGCACCGTATCTGCCTTGTATAATACTAGTGGATACAAGTCAGTATATATTAGGCCAAACCCACAGATGTACAACACCAAGAGTGAACCCTAATGTAAACTATGGACTTTGGGTGCTTAGGATGTGTCAGTGCTGGTTCACTGATTATAACAAATGTACCATTTTTTTTTTTGGTGGTGGTGGGGGAGGGGGGTGTTGGACACAGCGGGAAGGAGGGGAAGCAGGAGAGGGAGTACAGGGGAAACCTCTGTACCTTCCAATCGATTCTGCCGGGAACCCAAAGCTCCTCTAATAAAGTCCCTTAAAAAAAAAACAAACACAAAAAGAAGGCGCTTCCCTCTTCTCCAGGGTGAGGCTGATGAGCAATGCACCTTCCCGATTCGTATGCAGGGAAAAGGCCATAAACATCTTCCGTGCTCACGCACATGCTAATTGCTATTGTAACCAGAGGAACTAATAAGAATCAGGAAGGCAAGTGAATAGGATGATGGTTCCATCGTCACTTCAAATGAACTAAAATGATTTTAAGTGAACAAATTAACCGAATATCTAGGTCTTGTCACCAACTTCCCAGGCAGCTCCCCGCTACGTTTAAGTTAGAGTCATCAGGGGTGGTACGGCTTCACCTCAACAAAGAGGACCACGCAGTGTTGCACCAGGGACTCCACAGACCCATGTCATGCAGCCACACACGCTGGGCCCTGGTTCAGTTCACAAAACTTCCGAAACCTTTAAAGGAGCCTCTTCTCTGCCATTTGGCCTTAGCAGCCCCTGCCAAGTCCTCGAGAACCAGGTAAACCACAAGCCCTTTCATTTGTCGCCCTGACTATATTCGTCAGAGATTAGGGAAGAATGGAGAGGCTTCTAGTACTTGTAAGCTGTCATCCGGAATGATGTTTAAACTTTACTCAGAAGGCCACAGAGCATGTCACAAAGCGCGTTTGGTTGGGTGTCATTTGTAGCGGAGGGTAAGTGCTAAGGAATAAAGCCACCACCTCACACGCTCGCTCTCCAAGCCAAGAGTTCATAGGGCCTCTGATTTTATATTCCAGGAAGGAGCACGTTTGTCCTTGCAAAAACCAATGTGCTTGTGCACAACTTACAGGCCTACTTATAGTATGGTCAAGTGTCAAACAGATAACCCTTTCATAGCATCTCCACACCCGTGCTCCCTCCCAAACTAACAAAAACAGCCTGAATTGCTCACTCTGTAGGCAAGAGGCTAGAAATTCTGTTTCATGTAAGTTTTACTACTTTCCGTGGTTCACATTCTCCCAGAGACTAACCCTCTCATTTACGAACTCAAACCCTTAAATAAACTGCTTCCACCGACTTCGCCCTCTCCTCAAACCCTCGCTCAGCAGACGTCTTTCTTTGGCCAAGAAAGCTGCAGAGGAGGCTTGGAAGTGGCTGCCTATGGAAATGTCTCCCCCTTCCTACCAAAGGGGCTAATTCGAGAATTTCACAGGTCCAATTCCATTCGTGAGGACTGGATGTGAGCATACTAAGTGTCTTTCTGCAATCAATTTCTATCTGGGCTGCCAATCGACCTGACACTTGGGTGGAAACCTGCTTTCTAAGCTAATTCAGAACGCCGTCCGGTTCCTATGCATGGCCTGGAGTTGGAAGGCACGCACACCCGCTCACACCTACACTCTCACTCCTCCATGGAAGGCTTTCCTGGCACAAGAGCATCCCACTTCATTCCCAGCATGTGACCTCGGACCCATGTCCAAGTCTATATCTCTTTCTCCACCTGAAGGTTTGGTCTAGTGAGTCATTGTGCAGCAGCGATGGCAATTTTTTTCCCCCCTCCTTGATTTCTTAACGTTTCCTTCTCTGCTCCTGGCTGGGAAACTGTGTTGACCTCAGTAGGATTGTCTGAGGGGGGTTCTGCATGGCAATGAGGTGGCTAGCCGACAGGGATGTTAGGGGACAGACCTCGGTGTACTTTTGCCGGTTATGTTTTGTCTCATCACAGCTACAGGGGACTTTGTAGACGCCTAGGAGGGAGATCTATGTCCCTAATCTCACCCCTGTCTTCAGGGGGAGCCTCCGGGGACAGCCTGTTCTCTCGTCAAGTATATCCGGATTCAAAAGGCAAAATACCCCCAAGACACTTCACCACCAATGAAACGCACACACGTAGGGACATCTTGCTCAAGCAAGGGAGTCGCTCGCTACCTTTCACGCTGGCCTCAGGCTTCCTACCCTTCACTGTCCAGACCCGTGTAAGATGCTGCTGCATTCACGCGGTCCTATATCGCCTCTGCCACCCCAACCCGCTCACCCTCCCATCCTCACCCTCCCCACCAAGGAAAGGACTTCCAAATCGAGGTAGGAGCATCGGCTCCCTCCGGCACCCGCCCTTCCCTCTCGATCCTGGCCAGAAAAAACTCCACTTCCCGGATTCCCGGCCACTCGCCCTCTCCCGCCCCCTCCCCGGCGATCCAGATGCCAGCCTAGTGCCCGGCCCAAACGCGCACCCCCGCACCCCAAGCCAGTCCCTCCAACCCCAACCCCGACACACTGGCCCCAGCTTCCTCCCTCCTCCCCAGCGCAGGGCTCCCCAGATCCTGGAAGCACCCCGCAGGCACGCTGCTAGCACTGAGAAAGTCCCACCCCGCCCCCCCAGCCACGCCGCCAGCCTCCAGCTCTGCCCGGGAGGGGCCTCCTCCCCAAGGGGGTGGAAATGGAACGTGAGTGGGTGGTCCCAGCAGCCTCCTCCCGCACCCCGCGACCGGCCTGGACCCCCGGGGAGGTGGGGGGGGGGGGGAGACAGACCCGCGTGGCCCCGGAGGGACACCTCCCTCTCCCCCAGCCTCCGGAGGCCGGCAGGTCTCGACCGAGAGCGTGCTCGCTGGGGATCTCGGGGAGACCCGGGGGGTGGGAGGGCTGCCCGGGTCCAGGTCCTGCCGCTCCCGGGGGGCGGGCGGGCGGCGGCGACGCGCCCCCGGGGAGGAGGAGGAGGCACTCACGATGGTCACGCTGGCTTTGCGCAGGTCGCGGTTCTCCTCCTGCAGCGCCTTGCACTTGAGCTTGTAGGTCTCCAGCTCGATCTTGAGCACCTTGTTCTCCTGCTGCAGCGAGGCCAGGCGGTTGGTGAGCTCCTCCAGGCGGAACGGCGAGATGACAATGCCCCCCGACTTCCCACCGCCGCCTCCGCCGCCGCCGCCGCCTCCACCGCTACCGCCGCCGCCGCCGCCCGAGGTCGACGAGCAGGACGACTGCATGGCGGCCGAGCCGCCGCTGTTGCCCCCCGCGCCGTCCGTGTCGCTCTCGCTGGCGCTGTCCGCCATGGCCGCGGCGGCTGGGGAAGTAGGAGGAGCGGCGGCGGCGGCGGCCGGGCTGCCAGGGAGTGGGCGCGGGGCGAGCGCAGGGGAGCGCCGAGCGGGCGCCTGGCACCAGGGCGCAGACGCGGAGCGGCGGCGAGAGAAAGAGAGGGCGCTTCCCGCGGCCGAGGGACCGCCTCCGCCGGGGAACAGAGACCCCGCCCGGGCTCGGGCAGTACTGCACCGGGGCCGCCGCCGCCGCCCGGCGCTCCGGAGGCCGCCCCGCCGCTCAGCCGGGAGCGCGGGGCCGGCCCGCCTCCAGGGACGCGCGGGCGCGGGCGCGGCGAGGAAGCCGAGCGGAGCTCCCGCACCAGCTGCCCGCCTGCCGCACGTGCTCCGAGGGAGGGCCTCCTCCGAGCCCCCCCTCCCCCCTTCGGTGCAAGCCCCGAGCCGCCTGCCCAGCCTCTTCCGGGCCCGCGCCCCGCTCCCGGGAGAAGGAAACCCAGCGCCCCGCCGGCCCTGCAGGTGCCGGGGACACGTGGAGAGGGCGCCGGCCCCCGCCGAGCCGCGGCCCCGGCTTCCGCCGCCCGAGCGCGCTCGTGTGTCTCCCTCTGCCTGTTTCTCACAGCCACGCAGCCCTTTCGGTTTTAGCTCCGGGAGCCTGCCTGGCTGGCTGGCTGGGAGGCGTGGAGTGGCGCTCAAAAGAACAGTAAGTTCCCCTGCCAGGAGGAGAGGGGGGGCGAAACGCCACCAGCAGCCACAGGTTAGCCGCGTCCAGGAAGGTTTGCAGAAGACACACCGCCTCCTGGGCTCCTGAGAATCCCCTACACCGCGCTGCGCTCCATTGTTTAGAGGCGGTGCAACTTTTTATTTTCTTTCTCTTTTCCCCCTTCGCATCTTGCAAATAGTTACCAGGGCATGCCTCACAGTAGAATGGAGAGACACCGACATCGATTCCAAAAAGAAAATAATAATAATAATAATAATAATAATAATAATAATAAAAAACACTTGTGGATTGAAAGTCATCTCTTTAAGTGCCAATTTCCCACAGCAGCTGCAGACAGAGCATGATGCTATAATAGTGACGAATAAGTGGGAATGCAACAGAACCATAACCATCACCTTTTCTCACGAGTCCTGCCAGTCCTAGAAAAGTTTTGTAACTAAAAAAAATAAAACATGAATTACTCTAGTGTGGTCTAATTCGGGGTTCTAATTTTGAAGCGTAGGACATTTAAAATAAAAACTTTTATCTCCCCGCCCCTCCCAAAGAAAGTCTTGTAGGAAATGGACCCAGCAGGTGAATGATTCTAAACACTTTTAACACTGTTGACACAAAACAGCTTTCACTTATGTATAAAAATTAGAAACGGAAACTGACCAGACTAGTTTAATTATCCAAGCTCAGTCAAGGGAAGCACACATACTTGGAAACAGAAAATGAGGGGGGAGGAGGAGGGGAGAAATGTAAATTTCTTTTCTATTCCTTTGAACTTTTGGAAAAGTTTATAATACGTTGAGAAGGATGAAGAGGTGGGGAAAGGAATTATTTTAATTTTCGCACTCCTTCGTTACCTTTAAACCTACATCTGATTTGATGATTAAGCTGTTATTCCGTGGCTCACGGAAACTGTTACCTCTGAATAAACTAAAACTCCCAAGTCTTCCAAATGACATCATCTTTTTACCAAGATGGCTGCTTCTAGCAGCAAGCTCAGATATGCCAACCGCAGCAACACCACAAATTTCTCCTAGTTTTGTTTTGTTTTGTTTTTTTGTTTTGTTTTTTTTTTTTTTTAGTGCCAGAGGACTTCTGAACTCAGCCCCTGTTGGTGTGGTGGTGGTGGGGGGAGGACATTGACTTGGCTCTTCAGAGTGATCCAGTTTAGTTTTCACCGAAACTTATTTCTTTTCCCAGAAACTTTTCCTTTCGGGGATCTGGCACCTGAGGCAAGCAGCTCCTTGCATTGCAGAGGGCTATCTGGAAAACTCACTTGCTGGGTGACATGGAAGAGGAAAGCTAGCAGGGAGCAGCACCACAGGGGAGAACGGGCTTAAAAGCCTTCTTCCCACTTGATCCAGCTCCATGATCGAATCTGAAGGGCCAATCTGGCTTCCATACTTCACAAGTTTCTATTGTTCCCTAACCCAACAGCATGCAGAAGCTTCCACGTTTGGAGTTTATTGCAACAGAAACATTCCTTCTAGGCAGAGCAGAGGGGAAGCTGGCTCGGTCCTAGCTTTATCACCAACTAAGTGGTGGACTTACTGCTTTGAGTCAGCTGAGGGGTGGGGTTTCCAGTGCCTGGTTTTCTTAAAGGGCCCACGTTCTGTAGTAAGTTTAGGAATGTATGGGTCTTGAACAGGATTTGGAGGAAACGTGCATTTTGACATGGGTTTTTTTTTAGTTTGTTTGGTTTTTTTTTTTTAGGTTTTGTTTTAGGCAGTAATCGTGTTTAGGAGACTTTAGGGGGTAAGCCATCATCTAAAGCTTCCCTGCTGATACAGATGGGAATAAACTGGAGAATATTTTTTTCACTGGAGTTTTTATTGTTATTGCAAAGCCAAAGCGTGTCTAATTTTCTACATGTTATAAAAGTGAGTCCCCTAATAAACAGGCCGTGTATCACAACATTGGTTCGGTAATAGCATTCCAATGGAAACACTAGTTAAAAAGCCAATATCATTATAGAACTCCTTATCAGCTTTCCTGGGGGGAAATGAATCAGAAGAATAAATGGTAGTGTGTGCTGCCCTGAGGAAGAAGAGACACATTTAGACAATCAGTGCCATTTGAAAAACAATGGCATTTACCTTTGCTCCAAATTTAAGCTATAAAAGTGTAACACAAAGGAAAAGGATACCTTAGAGTCTAATTGCAAGACACAGCATCAACATTCTTCTTTGTCTAATGCCATTTGTGCAGCTGGTTCACTCCACAGCCTTGGTACTTTCAATAGTAAAGCTAACACAATGCTATAAATCATAGGGAGATTTTGTTGTTCAATTTTTAATGGCTCTAAATAAATCGCTGTCCATATCTTTTTGCATTAATGTCAAATACGAGTAATTTCATTCAAACTCTGACTGGATTTGGTGGTTGCCCGACGCACCATTGCAGTTTTGAAGATAATTGGAGTGAGCCAGGTATGAGGTAGATATCATACATAGACTGTCAGAATTTGGATAGAATCATAGAAGGATGTGCCACTGTGCTGCTATCATTTCTTGAAAGATAATTGATCATGTTTTCTTAAATATATTTTTGATTTAGAGGTTATGTCCAGTCCTTAGATCTAGTATAGAGTTTCTCATCCTTGGCTTTTATTCACACTTGAAACTGGAAAATTCTTTGGTAAGGGGTGGAGAGTACAGGGTGGAGAGGGGCTCTGTCCCATCCTGCAGACTGATTACCAGTATCCCTAGCCTCTGCCCACCAGATGCCAAGAGCCGGCCAGCCAAAAAGGTCTCCAGATGTTACCAATATCCTCGGTGGGACAAAATTGCCCCCATTTGAGAACCACTGATCTAAGTGAACAATTACTTTTGCAGTTAAAGCAAGGCCACTTTGGGGTGGCTCTTCTGGCAACACATAGATTACATCCCACTGACCCATCAAGGTTGTCTCTCGTCCATTCCATAGGCCCATCGTCAGGAGATCCTGAACCCAAACAACCACATCCACTCTTCCTACCATTGCTGGTGTTCAACCACCCATTTCGTTAGCATGTATTTTCAATATTTCACACCTATTAATGTCAAACTAGCCTTCCATCAGCAGCATCCCATCCAGGCAAAAGAGCATGCCTATGGGATTGAATTACATGTCTCTCTCTATCTTCCTGTTCCCATTTACTCATCAATAGTTCACTGAATCAAAGCCACTTCTACAAATGTAGTCTAAAGAAACAAATCAAAGGCTAACATAAATCAGATGAGAATCCAGTAAGAATTTCAACAAACATTGAAACATATGACCCACATGTCTGGTATAATTTAGTAGCCTACAAAACCTAACACTTGTCTTGACACAGATCATTCAGAACTGCTGACCAGGAAATGCTTTTTAAATTCTACCAAATACACAGCAGAGCTTGAAAGAGTGTATAGGAAAATCCCAGGCTCCTAAAGCAAAGAGGAAAACTAGAAACAACCCAAATGTCCACCTACTATATAAATTCTGTTCTACTCGTGCAATGGACTAATAAACAACAATGAGAATGAACAAACATGAAGCGCCATGAGCGAACTTTACAAAAGTCTTTTTGGAAAAGTTATCATCTAGATCACATGTGTCAAACACAAGGCCCGCGGGCCAAATCCGTCCCGCCAGGCCTTGCAATGTGGCCCGCACCGCGCTGTCATCACTGCACTCCACTACATTCCATCACAATGACAGTTTATGACTGTTCAGTAAACCATTCAGCCCGCGATTTAGGCTGGATTTTAGATTTTGGCCCCTTCTCTGATTGAGTTCGACACCCCTAATCTAGATTTAAGCCTCAAAGGATACCTTAGAGTCTAATTCCAAGACAAAGAGTCAGGAGTTTCACATATATAATTTATACTGTCTACAAGGATCAGAAACCCCCAAGATGACATCGTAAAAGTTGGGATGGGATGGAAATTCTTTGGGTGATGCAGTTGTTCTATATCTTGACTGTGGTGGTTACATAAATGTATACATTTGTCAAATGTCACCAAACGTACTCAAAAAGAGTATTTGTACTTTATGTAAAATCCAACCAAAAAAACTGCCAAAAGGTAGTTGATGTTGGGATAGTACTATCCCTAGTGCACCAGGCAGAAGCAAGCAAAAATTCACTCTGGAAGCAGTCTCAAAATGAAAATGGGATTACAATGGAAAATTATAAACCACAAAGAAATAATCCATTTTGAACAAAATTTAGCAAACAATAAAGCACTGATGGTATCCCTAAAACTTTAGTTAAGACAAATGTTGGCTATAGATGAATTTGATCAGATTAAGTATGTTTAAAACAATTAGAGCCACAAAAAAAGGAATTGAAAACATAATAAAAAAAAAACAAAAAACAAACACACACAAAAAAACAAATAAAAAGCAGCCAGAATTGAAGGCTAAAATTACAGAAGAACCAAATAGAACATCAAGAACTTAAAAACATAGTAGGTTAAAACTCACTAACCAAAGACCAGGGCCACACCTGCAGTCAAAAAACTAACTTTATCCAAAACCGGTTTGGCTCAGTGGTAGAGCATCGGTCTGTGGACTGAAGGGTCCCTGGTTCGATTCCGGTCAGGGTCGTGTACATTGGTTGCAGGCACATCCCCGGTAGAGGGTGTGC